AGGGGTAAATTTTTAAAATAACCCACCACAAATCAACAAATAACTTAGTTACTTCATGGGAGCAACTTCGTGCTTTGTGAGTCGTCAGCTTTTGACAACTCACTAAGCAGGATGACTGGCCAGAGGTTATAAATGCATAGTCACCAGAGGTCAGAAGAGACTTGATGGCACATAATGAAAATTTTGGTTTTTACTACTACTATGCATTATTTTTTCCTCCTAGCTTTTTGGTATCTTGTACACTTTATCTGTTATCTTTGCTTTGTGGATGCCGCTTTCATTTTAATCTCAGTTATAATTCTTTTTATTATTATTATAATTGTGCTAAATTTGATTAGTTGTATATTGGGGTTTTTTTCTGGTCTGGTGGCCTGAGAGCTATTTACTGTAGTGTAAATGTTGAATTTTAGAACTGAAATAAATAAATGAGAGAGAAATTATTTCAAATTAAGGTGGAAGAACATGTTTGGATTAATGGTTATGGTTTTGGAATCTTATAATTGTCAGTAGTTCTGCGTTATACTTAGTGTGAATTTGAATGGTTTTAAAATATATTATAATGTTAATGTCTAGCTTTACATGAATGAGAGCACTGGTCAGGGTAAGGGTTTGCCACAATTAAACCGAACACATACTAAACAACTAATACATTGACCCCGAAGCCCAAACTACAACATATTTGCCTATAGGAATAGTATGCAGTGCTACTCAGTTGTCTGTTAGGTACAGCAGGGAATACAATTACTAAATAGTAATGGTTCATGGGACATGGTGGCACTGCGGGCTAAACCGCAGAAGCCTGTGCTGCAGGGTCAGAAGACCAAGCAGTCGTAAGATCGAATCCATGTGACGGAGTGAGCACCCGTTGCTTGTCCCAGCTCCCGCCAACCTAGCGGTTCGAAAGCATGCAAATGCAAGGAGATAAATAGGGACCACCTCGATGGGAAGGTAACAGCGTTCCGTGTCTAAGTCGCACTGGTCATGTGACCACAGAAGATTGTCTTTGGACAAACGCTGGCTCTATGGCTTGGAAACGGGGATGAGCACCGCCCCCTAGAGTCGAACACGACTGGACAAAAATTGTCAAGGGGAACCTTTACCTTTACCTAATGGTTCATGGCAGATTAATTTAGGTAATTGTTGATCCTGTTCCAGTCATATCAAAGTGAAGCTTCACTGGTGGAACAAGCAAACCATTCTGAAGTCAGACTGAGATTCTTCAAAACCTAAAGATCTTGAATCAATAGCAATTGGACCTAATTGTTCTAGATAGTACTCACTTAACTTCTCCCTTGCCTGTCCCAATTTTTATACTGAGTTCAGCACAGTCAATATATAGAAACATAAGCATCTGTCTTTGTTATCCTACAGTTGGGAGATTATTCAAACAACGTAGCAGTGTCAGCAAAATCACCCTGTGGTGTCAGCAAATGTATACAGTACGTTTAGCAGAATGATACATGAACTGTAATCAGTGAGTACATTTCACATGACTGCAAGTATTGAGCAACTCCTACCACTTGACTAGTATTTTGTTCTACTTCCCCTTGGACTAGTAGGTCTTCATGTCTGCTAGGTCATCTCTTTGTGTTTCAACCATATATTCTGGTAAAGTCATCATGAGTAGCTATAGATGACATAGATATGGAGACACACATATGTACACATATCTTTTTGAACTGTTTGCCAGGATTCTGATATCTAATGGCCATCAGCTTGTCTATTAGCATACATCTCTGTGACAAATTGCTGCTAATTAAGAGACCACTGGTTGTCTACCAGTTGCATACTTCCATGACTAGTAGCAATTCACCACTGAAACGTACACTAATGAACTTACACTGACATAATTATTCAGTTTTATTCTGTGATGTGTGTACCACGAGCCTTTATTAGAAAGTTACTACTCTTTCTTAGTAGCAATTCACCACTGAAATGAACTTACATTGACATAATTATTCAGTTTTATTCTGATCTGTGTGTACCATGAGCCTTTATTAGAAAGTTACTACTCTTTCCAACTAGGTCCTTGTCAACAAGATTCTCATTGCTGTTTAAGGTCTAGACCTTCAGAAACAGGCTAAAATATATTCTTAACATTTTACAGGTGTTGAATGTGAAATTAGTAGTGGCAAAGTCTATGTGTACCTGATGGAAACATGATTGAAATTAACATTTTTTAAAAATTATATTTTATTTGAATCAGTTGTTTGGAGATGTGTTGTCAGTGGACCTTCTATGTATGTTGCTACTTTTTTTGTAGGAATAAAGTGGAATATATGGACAATATGAAATTTAATAATATCTACTAAAATTTTAATAGCAAAATCATGACTATGTAGTCTGCTAACAGAAGAGGAATGGCTAAGACTTGACATATAGCTGTTTTGCTGAAGCTTACAGAATTGTTGGTACATCTGTGAATAAATAGGAATGGAAGTCTGACTTCGTTGACTGCAAATGAAATGGCAATGAGAGATGCAAGGGAACCTTTGAATTGTGAAAATGTGTGTCATATGAATCTGTGATGGTTTAAAAAATCACAAAGCTAGCTAATAGATTTATTTCTGGCAAATAAATTAGGTTAGAATCTAATTTTTGTTCCATAAGCTACAGTATTTAGAATAAACCAGGGAGGAAAAAATGTTTTTAACATTTTAAGCACAAAGATGATGCCATAGGCTAACAAGTAGTAAGTAGAATTTTCTCTGCCACTGAAGTCTGCTTTCAAGAACCTTGTGAAGGGACCTACTTCCACATGTGATCACAAATGTGTTCATTGATTTTTTTTTTTGCTAATAAGCTCAATTTCTTGGCACATAGATGGCATAATCAAGTGGACCTTCAAGTACCTACTGAATCTGGATTTGTTTCTTATTTGCAGATACTTTTCTGATAATAATTATCTTTATTTGGAATTATTTATTATTTATTTATTTATTGGATTAGGCTAACAAGTAGTAAGTAGAATTTTCTCTGCCACTGAAGTCTGCTTTCAAGAACCTTGTGAAGGGACCTACTTCCACATGTGATCACAAATGTGTTCATTGATATTTTTGTGGCTAATAAACTCAGTTTCTTGGCACATAGATGGCATAATCAAGTGGACCTTCAAGTACCTACTGAATCTGGATTTGTTTCTTATTTGCAGATACATTTCTGATAATAATTACATTTATCTGGAATTGTAGTTAATTATCCTCTTCTTGGCTTGTTCTCCTATTCCTTGCAGGATTACCCTTCCCTTGCACTTCTTGGAGAAAAACTGGCTGAGAACAATATTCACTTAATTTTTGCAGTGACAAAAAATCACTATGTTCTGTACAAGGTAAGTGCTAGAAGGATAGAAAAGCTTGATTCCTTCTCTGCAACCTGATGGACAGTGGAGGAAAGCACATTCCCATTCCACCATTCAGTGTGGATAAAAATCAGTGATTTTTTTAAAAAGAAAAATCAATTTAAAACATGATTTAAATAAAAACTTTTAAAAATTTTAATCTGTTTTTTAAAAATCCAATTTTTAAAATTTAAGCCATGAGTTAAATACGCCCTACCACCCTTTAAGCAAAATAGAAGCTTTGAATTAAAAAGCACTTAAGGATTTTCTGTAATGTGGCTTTAAAACCTGGGTTCTTGTCCCTATGTATAACTGAACTACCTTTGAAATTACTCCCCTCCCTGTCTCATTCTTCACTTAATTTCAGAATAGCACTTCAATGAAAAGCTGTTAAGCTTCTTAAAGTAAATAGATAAATGTTAGTGATCATCGTGAAGGCACCAAAAATAGCTGTGGATTTAATCTTTACTTCAAGTGTATTGCCAGCAGGGATATGTACTGGGATATGTCTGCCATTACTTCATCTCATTACAGTATTTAAGAGTGAACTGTATTTCTGAGGAGCCTGAAAGCAGCTTGCATTATTTCAAGTGCATTTCTCTCCATTGTTAAGGCTCAAAAGTAAAAGATTTCCCTTTATACATAACAACAAAATGTGATGCACCTTAAACTATAGTTACCTTCATAGACTGGATTTCGTAACCTTTTTTCTTGTGTGCTTCTTCTTCTTTAAAGAATCTTACAGCTCTTATCCCTGGAACAACAGTAGAGATTTTATATCCAGACTCCAGAAATATTATCCAGCTCATAGTCAAGGCTTACAATGTGAGTTTCTTTCTTTTCCTTCATATTTTGATGTTGTTTTCTTAAAGTGTATGAGGATGTTTATATATTCAAGGTTATATTTCACTTTTCCCCCTGTCATGAAGCCTTTATTTTCCAAGTGTAAACGTGTCATCATATAGCAGCCTTGTTATGAATGTTGTTATATTTATTTCTTGAAAACTAAGTTCAGACTCTGCTGCTTGCTTTCTTGCATGTTTCTCAAGAAAGGATCAAGATCAGTAGTATTTGGGGTGGACAGAAAGGTCTTGGGCCTTAAATCCAGTTTTCTCTATAGCTCATGTCCTATCTTGAGGACATACGGAACATTAGTAAATCTGCAGTCACAGCATCCATTGAGATAAATTCCTACTTAAAACCACTCCTTAAATGTCTTGCATTCCTTGAAAACCCTATTAGGATTGCTCTAAATTTGATGCAACTTGGTGGCACATAAAACATACAGTACATAATTGATTAAATGGTTGAATGAGATCAAAGTGGTTGCCTTGCTCCTTTGCATCCAGCAGTTTAAAGCCAAGGATAGTAGAAACAAAACATTATCTTTGTTATTTAATATTTGCATGATATCAACATTTCCATACATTATGAGTGCAGCATGAAAGCTAGTCACAGGTGTTCAGTACTGCTGCTTTATCCAAGCTGCTTATTAAAATGTGGGAACAATCTGCAAGGTAGCTTGTAATGGCTTTGTCCTGGGGAAGTTAGTCTAACTCTTTCTTTGTTCAATTTTAAGCCGGCTGCTTTGTATGGCTTTTCCATGATTCTAAATATATCAGTTCTGCTTTCTGATCTTAAGGTTGTGCTATTGAGGGGAGGGTTTGCTCTTAGTTTTGCTGCCTAGGATGTTTTTAAAGTTTTAAAATGGCAAGTCACCTTTCTGACGTGAAAAGCAGTGAATAAGTTTTATCACTCAATAATTTCTCAACATTATTTGAAATAGTCTGTCTCACTTTTAACAAATCTATTGGTGCCCTGTTGTGCAAAACAATGACAAGAAGGGTTTGTTTGTCTTTTTTATTATTCCCATCATATAGCTTTGAGTGGGCAATTTTAGCAATCTGTTAATAGGGTTGGGATGGAGTAGATTGCTTTTGCTATAAGTAGAAAGCCCATATTTAGGATTAGGGATAAGAACGTCTAAGTTTAGCTGGCGATCACTGTAGCAATTCTGTCTTGTCTGCCTAGATACATAAACGTGTGTGCTTATGTAAACTATGAAAACAGGTGTGTATGGATGCATGAGTAAGTTGGGTGCTAGAATGTTGTGATAGAATGTTGAGTCACAGGTTACATGTGGGTAAGTATAGTAAATGAATGTAGAATTAGACATGTTTTTTCTCTTCAGACTAGACACCTCATAAAGTACAGTACCTTTCCTTTTTTCCCATTGACCTGTTCGTCCCAAATGAAATCCTTTTGTTTGTTCCAGGTACAAATCATATTATTTATTTTAGGTAAACTTTTATTAGCAGTCAGCAATATAGGATGCAATACCCACATTTACACAAGCTATGCTGAAGAAGCAGCACCACCAGCAGCCAGAGTTTTCGCTAAATGGATCTTTTCACTCAGCAACTAATCAGAATATAAAAAACAGCTGGCCTATTGGCTAGGTAGCCCAATTAAAGGTGCAATCCCAGATACTTAGAAACGGTTTGGGGGAGTGGCTGTCCCTAGGCAAACTTCTAAAATTGCAGCACAAATGAGGCCTTCACAATTTAAGGTATAGGTGCTGGAGGTGTGTGGCTGACTCCCTGGGGAGTGCATAGCCACTAGTGTGATAGTGGTGAGAAAGGATGCCTCCCTGAAGAGACTGCAATCACTTCTGAATATCAAGTGGATAATGATCAGTCTGAATTTCTACACAAAGACATGCCTATACCTACAAGAACTTTGGATGTAATCGCTAGAGCACTCATAAGCATGTCAAGACAGTAGCTTAGAAAATGTGGGTGGAGCACACTGTCTTGGTGGTGAGGGAACCGGGCACATGTTGCGCTCTGCAAAAATCCTTCTCTTTACCACTATGGTTGATTTCTGACCAGGCCCTAATTTGGTTCAACATTCTTGTTAGGTTTTCATGCTTCACAGATTCCCTGTCAAACTTGCAGCTGCTCATTATGGACCTCTCTTCCGACACTGAGTTCCTGTTCAGACAAGGAGAGCAAAATCCATCATTCTGCGCAAAAGATAAAGCATTGATTTACTTAATTTAGGGTGTGAACAGACTGGCATTTAGCCCACTGTTTGGTCCGCTGCAGGAATGGGTTGGTTCACTCTTTTTTCTGGTGATCACACAACATTATCACCAGAGTGATCCAGCCTGCCCCCAGAGTGTTCCTGCCCACACCTTTCTCGGCCCCTGTTAAAGGCTTCTACCTTTTTTAGTTTTGGTAGGATCACTGCTGACTGGCAGCAGATTCAATTGTGGGCAAGTTCTCGACCCAGCCTTTAAGAAAAGTGGGGAGGGAAAAACCCTTGTTGTCCCCTCATAACTCCTCCCATATACAGAAGGAAGTTTTCATTTTTAATTTTTTAAAATAAGTTATGCACCACATTAGCACTGCCCTAATACAGTCTTAGAAATGATTTTTAGTTTCTAGTGCTTGTACAGAGAGCAGAAGTCTTAAATTTGCCAGTATCATGAAGTGGCCATCAATACGGGAAATTGAAAGGAGAAGGAGCCAGACTAAATAGGGTCAGTTGAGGTGCGTATGCCATCTGGATGTGAGGATCACATCTAATAGTGTACTGCAACCTCTAGCAACCCTGTTTAGTTTGCAGCCTTTTGCTCCAAATGAGCCCATGCAGATGACTTCTTATTGGCTAGACATAATTACCATTTTGGGTTCATCCAATTAGCTTCCTACTTTTATGGAAATGTTAGGGTTATAGCCATGTTTAGCAAGTTTATCCCTCCTTAACACAAAGTTAGTGCCCACTTGCAGTCTGGCTGACATGTAGGTGGATGAACCGAGCTGAGCTTGAAGTAAGCTCATACAGAGCTCATACATGTAGGTGGAGTGACTTTAGATATAGATATTCAGCAGGTATTTTCTTAGCAGGTTTTTGTAAGGAGAGAGGAGGCAAAGGATTTATTAAGTGTAAACCTCACAATGTGGGGTTTACACTTAATAAATGGATTAATTAAATAAATAATTACATGCTGTCAAGTCACTTGCAACTAATAGTGATTTTTCTCAGAATTTGCTAGGGACTGAGAAATGGTTTACTGTTCCTTCTTGTGGGTGTGCTCTAAAACCTATAGATCCCTATTTCTCTTACAACTAATAGTGATTTTCCCCAGGATTTGCTAGGGGCTGAGAAGTGGTTTACTGTTCCTTCTTCTGGGGGTGCTCTAAAACCTATAGATCCCTATTTCTTGCCTAGCCCTACCCCAAAAAGGACAGAAAAGGTATCATATTTATTTATTAGGATTTGTAGAGAATCATAGGTGCATGAGCAAACAAAGGGCAATGTACTGTTTGATTTTCTTTGGAGACCAAGGAATACATTATGTTTTCACATAGCCTGATATTATTAGCTCAAATATATTCCAAGAGGGTTTTTTCCCCAGATGCTTCACACAAACATCTTCCCACATATTGCAGTCCCGTCATGCTCTTTGTTTTCTATTGATAATCAAACTGCTGTTTAATTCACGAATCTTCTTCTAGGTCAGGATTAGGCAAATTACAGAGGTCTAGAGTTGCACACAGCCACACTTGGACCTTTGGAGGGCACCTGTGATCCCACAACCACAGACCTCTCTCCCAATTTTTTTCTTACAAAATGTTTTTTTCTTAATTGGATCCTTGCCACTTCCCCTATAGCTCACTTTTCTTTTACAGAAAAAATTTTTTTTGAAGGGGAGTATCATGGTCCCTGTGATGTCGGAGCCTTTCAAAAGGTGGCAGAATTGCATTTCTTCTAAAGGACACTTGGGTACTTTTCAAGACCTTCCCCTCCTCATAAAATAAAATAAAAGAAAGAAAGATGGGAATGTAGGAGTCCTGAAAGAGCTGCATGTTGCTCACCCGTTTTGTAACTGAATTTCTTTGCACATTTTGAAATGTTCAAGAAGCTGGGAGGTGAAAGCAGAGTGACCAGGTAATATTTCTATCTTTAGGAAATACCACTCTAGGCAGAAATCACAGCTTTGACACAAAAACAACCCTAGTAAGAGAGATAGGGGACAATTCTGGGTCTGTATATGCGTCCTATAATTGAACTTTCTTATTTATGAAAACTATGAGCCCAGACTTTTTTATGCTGCTGATTAGATGGATGTACTTTACAAAAAAACCCAAACCAAACCTAATGGACTTCCTTTTCCTTTTCTAGAATATTCGGTCAAAAGTAGAGTTAACAGTCTGGGATAACCCTGAGGATATCAACCTAGCTTTCACAGCCACATGTCAAGATGGTTTGTCATACCCAGGAGTCAGAAAATGTGGAGATCTTCAGATAGGAGACACTGTGAGTTTGATTTATATCCATTGACTGGGATAAAAAAAATGAGAGACCATAATCATAGAAGTCTTGTGTATGACCATCAAGCTGCCTGAAGGAGATACTATTTTTTTAATCATTTATTTTCTCAAAAAGAAATGGGGGTATGGAAGGAAAAATGAGTAAGGGGAAAATTAAAGTTTGGGGGTGGTGGAAATTGCATATCATCAATAAATACAACAAGGACAACAAAAATATTTATAATCATAATTTTTCAAAGATAAAAGCATTTTATACAGATCATAATATTCAAAAATACTTTCTCTTCCCCCTTCTTATTATTATTCTAATAATAAAAGAATTATTCTAAATAATCAACTTCTTTTTTATTTTTATTGTATTAATATAATGAAATATATTATTCTAATGATAAAAGAATTATTCTAAATAATCAACTTCTTTTTTATTTTTATTGTATTAATATAATGAAATATATTATTCTAATGATAAAAGAATTATTCTAAATAATCAACAAATAGAATACATGTGCCCCATCCCTTTCCAAAAATATAATTTGTAAATACATATTCTATATAAGAGCTCCAGATCCAATTAAAACAATTTTCTTTCAATAATCCTTTTCTAACTTTCAATTCACAAGTTGATTTATCATTGTCAGATTCCCCACCTCATTATAACATTCTTCCAATATCAGTTGATTATTAATTTTCCAGTTCCTTGCAAATATCAATCTAGTTGCTATTAACATAATAACAATTAGTTCTATTCTCCCCTGTTTAATGTACTGATTCCAAATATATTTAACAATGCTAACATTGGACGTCTTTGTATATCTGTCCCTAGAATTTCTTTAATCTCATTAAATATAATTATCCATCTACATTCTACTTCGTTTCCCCCCATTCCTTAAACTTCAAATAAAAAACATACTATCTATTATTATATTGTACTCTAAGTTTTATTTATTTATTTTATTTATATGCCGCACACACTACCCAAAGGTCTTTGGGTGGCTTACAACATTTAAAATACAATAAAAATACAGTGGGGTCTTGACTTGTGAACTTAATCCGTATTGGAAGGCAGTTCTCAAGTCAAAAAGTCTGTAGGTCAAGTCTCCATTGACCTACAGTGCATTGAAAACCGATTAATCCCATAACAGGCCGTTTTTGTTCCATTTTGGTTTTTTTCTGGTCTGTAAGTCAAATCTCAGTCTGCAAGTCAAACCTAAATTTTGCGGCCAGAGAAGTCTGTAACTCAAAAAGTCTGTAAGTCAAGCCATCTGTAAGTCAAGGGTCCACTGTACAGAAAAATTAAAATACAATTAAAATATATATAAAAATTGCCATCGGACCCACAGCTAATATTATTTCAATTAAAAGCCTTCTGGAACAGGAAGGTTTTGACCTGGCGCCGAAATGTCATCAGCGTTTTAGCCCAGCCCCCCTTGTGCACACGACTCTGCTCCCCCGTGCATGTGACTCAGCCCCTCCCCCCACGGGGTTTTGTCACGGCCAGAACCAAAGGGGCTGGAAACAATCTCTGTGGGTGTGTGCAGGAGGAAGAGCCCTGCGCAGAGGAGGTGGAGTTGTGCACAAGCGCACAGCCACACACCTTGATTGTAATTATGCCATTGTCCAAAAGAGTAGTCAAAGTATTTCAGGATATTCAAAAAAATATAATAAAAAATACAGAATTTTACATATATCCAAATTGTATTTAACATGAATTTTGAATTTTCATTTCTATATATCTGCAGATAACTTTAACTGAGTTTGTATTATACTGTATATCTTAATTCTGTTGGTTATTTTAAATAGTTAAACATCTGTTGAATGAAAAAATTAGATATGTACTGAATATTTACCCTGACCATTATTTAATTATACAAATAGATTTTAAAAACTCCACATTCTATGTTATATCAAACATCTCTATTATTTCCAAAGCACGAATAGTAGGTTTGCCATTTACGCTGATATTCTTTAAGCGTTCTTTAATATATTTAGCTCATTAACTTTGACATTATCACATACGCAGCTAGTTTTTCTTTCCAAATCTTTATAGTTTGAGATTCATTCTTCTGTCTTTCATATCATTGTAAAAATTACTCTGGCAGCCGTTGACATATATCTGAACAAATCTAGTAAAATTCTTTCTAAAATTCCTAATTACTTAGTCTCTGGGTTCATCAGAAATTTACTTTTTCCTTTTAAAAAATGCCACATGTACATTTATCCAATATCCCTTAATCTCATTAAAGTTTTTCATCTATTTAACCATACATATATTTACTTGTTCTTCCTCAGTATATTGGAGCAGTAATTTATAGGTTCGTCCCAACAGATGACATTTATGGTGTAAAATAGTATTTTCAAATTTTTTGGAACTTTCGTACTTCCTATAGAAAGGTCTTTTTGTAATCTAGAAGCCATTTGAAAATAGATTAGCCACTGTATCTCCTTCCCTTCTTCTTTAATTTCTTGCCGTGATTTAATTTCTCCTTGTGAATTTATCTCTATAGGTTATAAAGTCATTGTTCTTCCCTACATGGTGATCATAATGTCTATCTATTGATGACATTTTTGTTGACATTGATGGGCTGATTCTTCATTTTAGTATTTACCATATATACAATGTTGTCTTATGTGTCTTTTACCCTGAGTTATATTTTTGTAAATTGATTTTTTAATCCAAAAATAATTATATAGACTGTCATCCAGATTTGAATATTCTAATTTTATGAGTTGTGTCATTTGGGTTTTTTTAAATTTAATTTGATATCTAAATGAATCCAGGAGCTTGATAATATAGTTTAATATTAAATATTGCCAGACATCCCCCTTTCTTCTCATACTGCAGTACTTTAAACCTTATTCTTGGTTTCTTGCTTATTTGTTTGTTTTTGCCAGTCAGAGTCTTTTCAAAAACTGAAGCCTGAAGAGATACTTGAGATAGTCCAGTACTATAAACATTAGGGGATTCTTGTCAGATCTAGTGTTGAAAAGGCTTTTGAGGTCTGAGGCAGAATACCATCGTTGGTGATTTGGCTTCCGCAGCTGCTTGGAAATCAGTACAAGGATTTAGTTTGACCACCATATACTTTGTGAGATTCATCTAGAAAATGCTAATAAATCAGTACAGTACAAAGATTTAGTTTGACCACCATACACTTTGTGAGATTCATCTAGAAAATGCTAACAATTTAAATATATATTCCATTCAGTCATTGAGACCTCTGCTGTAAACACTAGGAAGCTTACAGGGTAATACATCAGTCCTGTCCATATCTACCCAGAAATAAGTCCCATTGATTTCAGCACTGATGCTGGCCAGTCTTCCCCTCCAAGTCCCAAATCCGAGTCCAAGTCTTTGGGATCAAGTCCCAAATCTCAAAGCTCGAGGCCTGGGACCCAAAGACTCAAGCCTTCCGCTGCCACCGCTGTGCATCCCACCACCACCACGCACCCGCGCTGCTATCGCATAGCCCCCCCCACTGCTAATCTGCTATGATTCTGCTCTTGGGAAGACTATTAATAATTTTAAACTTGAAGCTTCTTCCGGCTTCCTGATCTGTTTTCCTCAGCTATGTAGGAGAGTTATTCCTGTCCCCTTCAAGTTTCATAAATTAGACTTCTCTGCCTTAAAAAAATGAGGATGGCATCGCTGGTGTTAACTAGCGGCCGAGCACACTGCTGAGTGCCATCTGCATGCAGCCATCTGGCATGCCGGAGCAGGCTGTATTCCAATAAAGTAGAGAATTCACAGCGACTCTTTGAAAGGGCCTTCCCCACTGTATTTTTTCAAATCAAGCCTGTTTCAGAGCACATAAAAGAGGCTTATAGAGAAACCTACAACAGTACTTCTCTCTTAACTTCCACAAATCAGCTCCTTCCATTTACAAAGAGGCGTAAGTTTCCCCCTACCCACAAATCTGGCCTTTGTTTTGCTAGTAACACGTTTGCATATTCCATTCTGCAAATGTGTGCTCTTAAAAAACGGTAACCCTTTTTTATAGTCCAAGCCCATTAGCCTTTGGTTCCGAGGGAAGGAAAGACTTCATTTGGTGTGTATCCTTGCACAATTGGTCATTTTATTCACTTTTTAAAAGCCATTTGCTATAAAATACATTTTGACATGATTCTATCAGTCTGTATGATTTATCATCATCCTTTTAGAGCTGCAGAGCTTGAAGGAACCCTGTGGATTGTTGAATTTTAGAGCTTGAAGGTACCCTGTGGATTGTCGAATCTGACCCTTGTCGAGGAGGCATAGTGGGGAATCAACCTATCAAACCCCTGTCGAGGAGGCATAGTGGGGAATCAACCTCTCAACCTCTGGCTCTTGCAGCCAAATGCCTAAACCACTGAACTATCCAGTAGTTCATAAAGCATGCCCAAAATTTTAACCAGCTACTTTTATTCTTAACATGATTCTCTGCATGCCTTCAGAAATAACATTTTTGCACCTTACAATGAGAAGTGTACTTCCTGAAAACAAGCTGGGTTGGGGGGTTGTATGCCAGGAATCTCTGAGCATTTGGTAGCTTGTACCACTTGTACTGTATTTTCCTTGGTATTCATTAGTAAAACTATTTAAAATGGTGATTTATAATAGAGTTCCAGACATATCTACTGAGATGTAAGTCCCATGATGTTCAGCATGGATAAGGTCTAGATAACTGCTTAATATTTCTTTAACTTTTGCTACTTTTTGTGGGTTGGGGGGTTGAGGTTTTGATGGAGGAATCCTGTACACTATTTTTAAATCGGAAAATAGATACATCGTCCATTGCATCCAAGCCCTGTCCTGTTTTAGTAATGTGGTAATGATGAGGGTTTTATTTTTCATTTACTGTAAGTATTTATAGAAAATTGTTCCAAAAATGTTTTGCAAGACAGAATACGCAAGCAGGATATTCAAAAACAGGTTTTAAAAATACAACATTGCATAAGAGCAAAAGCTGTTTAAATGGTATGAAGGAGGAGGGACAGCAAATGGAGCAGCAGGGTAGGACTCCCCCCCTCCCTTTCTTAAAAAGAAAGAAGCATCCTCTAATGCCAAGATACAGAAATACTTTCCCTTGGGAAAAAAATTACCTTAATAGAAATAATTTTCTAGACATGGTAGATCATTGCTGTAGGGAAAAGTTTCACATCATACTTCATTATTTGCCTTTCAGAATTTTCAAGCATCCTCTTTTGGGTGACTTATATAATCTTAAATACTAAGACTTGTAATTTTTATTCTTCATCTCTCTATAAATGCATTCTTTTCATTTTTATGTATGTATGTATGTTTAACTTTGCACTGTTAAACAGAAGTCCATATGGATCACAACATGGGTGGCTCGCAACTGCACCTATCCACTATATTGGGGTGAGGCCGTCTTTCTGCCCCTGCTTGGAACCATGAATCACCCATAGTTAATAATGATGTAGATACGGTGGTGCCTCACATTATGACGAATCCGTATTACGACAATCTTTTTGCGATCGCAATTGCGATTGCAAAACGATGGTCTAAATGGGGGAATTTCATTTTGCGATGATCGGTTCCCTGCTTCGGGAACCGATTCTTCGCAAAACGATGATTTTCCAACAGCTGAGCAGCGGTTTCAAAATGGCCGCCGGGTAAATAAAATGGCTCCCCGCTGTGTTTAGGGACGGATTCCTCGCTATACAGGCAGTGAAAATGGCCGCCGTATGGAGGATCTTCACTGGACGGTGAGTTTTAAGCCCATTGGAACGCATGGGCTTAAATGCGTTTCAGTGGGCTTTTTATTTTCGCTTTACAATATTTTCGCTTAACGGCGATTTTCCTGGAACGGATTATCGCCGTTAAGCGAGGCACCACTGTAATGCCTTCAGTATTCTTTGCCATAAAGTTGCTTTTTCCGTTGACTATAATGCCTGCTCATTCTCCTTTGTCCCTATTGCTCCATAGGTTTCCTTTGAGGTAAAGGTAGAAGCCCGGAGTTGCCCTGCTGAGAAGACCTCTCATACATTCACTATCAAACCGGATTGGTTTCGTGACACTTTAGAGGTGATTGTCACTTACAACTGCACGTGTGGGTGCACCAAGCAGATTGAGCACAGCAGCAGCAAGTGCAGTGGAAATGGCACACACGTGTGTGGATTATGTGACTGTGACCCAGGCCATGTAGGAGCCAAGTGTGAATGCGAGGAAGGGGAGAGCGGGAACATGTACCAGAACATGTGTCGCGAAGCTGAGGGGAAACGTGTCTGCAGTGGCCGAGGGGAATGCTCGTGCAACCGCTGCAGCTGCTACGAGAGTGAATTTGGGAAGATCTACGGCTTGTTCTGCGAGTGTGATGATTTCTCCTGTCCGAGATACAAGGGCGTCCTTTGCTCAGGTAGGCGTGAAGCTGCCTCTTCTGATCTTCTTGAAAGCTCTCAAGAGTTTGGGCATAAGGGAGGGGCGGAGGGGAGCAGTACTTTTCTCTGTTAACTGTTGCCTGAAGTACAAGTGAATTTCACCTCCAGCTCTAAGCCCTTGCCCTGTGTCCTTTTCTCTGTGTTGTTGCCAGCTGGAAGTACATTCAACCATTCAATTAATGTGGTATAATCACAATCTGCTCCTCTCAGTCAGTACCAAAAATATCTTAAATGGTACATCCTGTTGAAAAGAAATGGTTTTCCCCTCTTCCTTGGTAATAATGTATTTTGCTGGTTGCACTGAGACACTTTTTCCTTAGCACTTACTAAGGTGAAATCTGGGTAAAGAAACCCAGAAATATGTAGTCTGATAGCCAGAGTTTGTACATAACCTATTTTTCTAACCAGAAAAACAAATTACACTTTGTAGGCAATGAGCTGGAACTGAATTAACGTTTTTCTGTATACTAGCCAGGGATATAACTGACTACTTTTCAGTGGAATTACTCGTAGAAAGGGAGTGTTTGGCTTGAGCAGTAGGCGGGGAGATGAGATCACAGAGGCGACTTATTTTGTGTTCCTGCCTGGCCTGTCCCTCTTTATGGATGAAATGTTGTTAACTGAGTGAGGAGCACATAGGGCAACAGCAGCAACAGAAATGTCAGTGAGAGTCAACCAGGGAGTGAGAGGGCAAGTCCTAACCTATCAGAGTTCCCAGTCACACAATTACTGTACGCACATTCTATGGAACATACTTGCAAGACTCTGTACAGACCCTGGCGACGAACATGTAAAGGTCTGCTTGACAGGTGTGATGACCTGGTGGAGTGGAGGTGTGGTGAGGGACAGGATCCCTCCATCACCATCACTATAGATCTAACTCTATGAAAGTTCATGCTTCACACCTGAACAGAGCTATTGTGACAGTAGTAGTGTATACATCACAAATGTAGCAATTTCTTCACTATATAAAGAGAAAGCTTGGAAAATGTGCAGTTTTGGACTACACCTCCTCAAATCCCTCAACCCAAATAACCACTGGCCATGCTGTCTGAGAGATTCTGGGATTTTCCCAAGCACTAACTAATGATATGTGCTCACAGTAAAAGGGTTAAAAACTATATAATTTCACAAATAGACGTGCAAATGGCTCCATATACATGGTGTGTAAGGACCATGTACAGTGGTGCCTCGCTTTACGATCCTCCATATACATGGTGGGTAAGGACCATGTACAGTGGTGTCTCACTTTACGATTGCCCCGCATTACGACAAAACCGTACTACGATGATCTTTTTGCAAAACAATGGTCTGAATGGGTTTTTTTCACTTTGTGATGATCGGTTCCCTGCTTTGGGAACCGATTCTTCACAAAACGACCATTTTCCTCCAGCTGATCGGCGGTTTCAAAATGGCCGCTGGGGAAATGAAATGGCTCCCCTCTGTTTTCTGGGACGGATGCCTCGCAAGACAGCCACCGAAAATGGCCGCCCTATGGAGGATCTTTGCTGGACAGTGAGTTTCCAGCCCATTGGAACACATTGAAGGGGTTTCAGTGTGTTTCATTGGGTTTTTAATTTTCACATTACGACGTTTTCGTTCTGCAGCGATTTCGCTGGAACGAATTAACGTCATGATGCGAGGCGCCACTGTAGTCCTAATGTTGTTGGACTCTTAATGGTCATCAATCGTAGTCAGCCTAGTCAGTGGTAAAGGATGATAGGAATTGCAGTTGAACACTTGGAAAGCAACATTTATCCCACCTCAATACATGCCACTTCCTGTTCTGCCAGATGAATCTCAGAAATAACAGAGAATAAAAAGACAGGTAAATTAAGTGTGCATAGCTTCTGAGTGAACAAGTGCTAGGAAATGTCCAGGGTGACTCTGAGACTTTGACTTCATTCAGCCTCAGTCACTGGTGCAGAAAAGATCACACAGTCCAGGAAAAGTGCCTTGCAAAACGACACATTATTTCCATGATCTGTGCCACCATGGCCACCTGTAAAGCAGTCATTTGATTCTGAGTCATGCTGTCCCACGCTCAATAAATCTATGCAGATGTTACGCCTGAAAGTTTAAACAAGCAAAGGAAATGGGGAAGAGAACACAGCTTGTATAAAACCTCAGTGGAAGGACGGTATTTCTCCTCTGAAATTCACTTCCCTCTCTCTTTCCCCATGCAAATGCCAAGCTGACCCATGGTTAACCTGGGCTTTGGAAGTGAGATTTACCGCAAGGCTATTTCCCTTCAGCCTCACTAGCCATGATAGAAGGAGGCCCTGTATACGTTTGCCTGTAGTTTTTGTGCAAGTACGTGTGAAAGAGAGAGACGCTTTCAGACAGAATATATGAAGTATGGTTGCTGTGGCTGTAATGTTTTGGAACTTACAGTGTAAGTGGGGACTGGAATGCCATCAAAAGCCACATAGAACTACTAACATTTCTGCAGAAATTCTTTTGCATTGGAACTTAAAATATAGTGGCTACAAATACATTTTTTAAACATTTTAAATAAAGTTTATTTTTGCTTATGCAAAAAACAAAAACAGAAAAAGAAATAACATCTAATAAACATATGCCTAAATAGACATCTTGCCCTTCCAGAATTCTATTGACTCTTTCAACGTGATTTGCTCCTTCTTTAATATGCAAAATTGATAAATTCTCCCCATGTAAACCCGTCTTTGCCTATTACTCCCTCTTAACTTTTATATTGCATATATGCTTAGCTGTATCCTAAATTTTCCTATGCCAGTCACTGAACTGGAAATTTCAGTCTTTATTCTAATTCCTAGGAATAAGCAATCTCGCATGTATTGTTCAATAAACAATAAATGAATGATTTAATTCATTTATTTACTTGAAGACCAGTTGCCAAAATTTCAATATATTCTCATATTCCAGCACATCTTGGAAAAATTGCCATCTAGTTGATGTTGTTTCACTGGAGTTTAGTAGTAACCCCAAATTAAATTATTAAATTATTAAAAATTCCTTTTATCTTCATTGACATATATTTCTAGATAGATGTGCAAATGCCTATGTTGTTTTCAGCTTTCCTTTTGTAATATAATGCCTTCATATTTTGTAAATTCTCTACATTTTCCAGTTCTTGCCTGTGTTACAGTAACGGTGATGTCATCTGCCCGTCATTGCTATGGTTGTTTGTCATCTGCCAATAGCGTGATAACGTATGAAAATAAATACCTACTTTTGGCACCTTCTCCAGCACATCTTGGAAAAATTGCCATCTAGTTGATGTTGTTTCACTGGAGTTTAGTAGTAACCCCAAATTAAATTATTAAATTATTAAAAATTCCTTTTACCTTCATTGACATATATTTCAATATGTTAATGTTCCATATATTTTTCCAAGCACTAATGTTTATTTCTTCTTCCATATCAAATTCCTATAATCCACTTAAATCATGGGTCCTTCTGATCTTATGCTTCCAACAATATATTATAATTTTTACTTACTATACTTAACAGATAGATGTGCAAATGCCTATGTCGTTTTCAGCTTTCCTTTCCTTTTGTAATATAATGCCTTCATATTTTGTAAATTCTCTACATTTTCCAGTTTTTGCCTGTCACTTCTTTTATTTGCTCTTATTCTTTATTTTTTCTAACCAAACCTTTCTTCTAATAACTTGTCTCTTTATTAATAAATTCTCAATGAGTCCTTTTAGGTTTCTTGGGAATGCTTTAAATTTGGAACAGATACAGTAAAATATTTATCCCATCAGTTTCCCCATTGCATTCAGTGACAGAGCTGAACAAATGCTGTTTCTGATTATGCATTTTCCTATTCGCATTTTTAGTATTAGGTCTTCAGAAGATTTTTTTAAAGACACCCAGAGTTTAAGCCTGAAACAAAACAATAATACAGTAATAACAACAGATAGCAAATGACATCACACATTCTGAGGAGAATCCAGACCCTTTCCACTGACAATGGGAGGCAATGGAGGAGCTTAAAAATTAGGTGCAGATCTAGAAATTTTGTAATGAGGTATGTCTGCAAAATTCTGCAGACCATTCCCCCCCCCCCAAATATCTGAACATGGAATTCTGGAAGGAAATAGGCCTTTCTCGTAATGGATAGTGTTTTGAATTGAGAATTTACATGGTTTGGATAAAGTTCTTTTACTAGAGGGGAAGAATTGAAAGCATGTTTTATAACATGATGACTTGAGCATATGGAAGCTTTCCCAGCAGTGATTCAGTATAGCTTTAATCGCAGTGCTAGTCAAAATGAGACACAGTGGATGATAGCCCTCTACATGTGGGGAATAAATCCTAAACCACATAGGGTGTTTAGTCATGTCAACACTGTATTTATAGTTTGTACAAATGAAATAAGAATGTCCTTATGCTTGATGTGAAAATATTAAGACAGTTGGATTAGCAAAGATAAAATGTTGTGGAAACTCAGGATAACTTTTTGAAATAGGTTAAATGGCTGTTTTCAAACATGTTGCTGCATAGTATGATTTGGTAGTGTCTGGAGATATGAAATAATGTTGCCACAGAAGAGAATAATGACTCCCCACTGCTACAAAAGTTAAAATTCTACATAGATTACAGTTACTAGAAGGGCAGTTGGAAGTAATTATGGAGAGCAACTTCAGAAGATCTTTTATATATCTGTTTGCTGATGTGGGATTGAGATACTCTGGGTGGGAGTTCCTGGATGACAAAACTTCAGTGGTGTACTTGTTGTGTACTTAAAGGTCAAAGTCCAAACAATAGGCAGCATATTATTAGCGCCTGGGTGTAGCAGTGAGGCATTTAATTGCTTTTGGATTTAGAACCAAATGGGATAGTGTGTAGCAGAAAAGTGCAACTTCAACAATCTATCTTTCGCTGCTAAACTCTATATTTTCTCCGGGTTGAGGGCCATTAATAAGGATTGTCATGCAATGTGGTTTTTCCATTTTGCTCAGCACTGCAAGACTACAAGCAGGTATGG